TTTCACCAAACTCACTAGTAACCACAGTATACAGTAAACCAGCCATTGAAGTATGCTTATTTGAAAATTAATACAAGAAATATTGTGCAGAGGATTTTTTTGTCATTAACCCATAGGTAACGACTGGTGCAAAAGTACCCACAAATGATGATATATTTGAAATGTAAATTTGATCAGCGAAATTCGGAAAAAAAATAATAATAAAACAAAAATATTGTTAATTACTACATGGGAGGTGGGCGTGGTTATGGACAGATTTCGCCAAAATTCAATACTAACCTAAATTATACCAAAGGTAACTTCGACACCGACTTTCGTCCAAATATCTAAATTTTGTTCGAGTTACAAACAGACACAACTGAACCAATTCATCTCGTCATTTTGAATATTTTGATATATATGTATGTACATACATGTATATATATTAGACTGCATCACCAAAAAAAGTTGCAGTTTTTCCGCCGGGATTTGTTATATTTTGATTTGTTATATTTTAAGAAGTCCACCAAAATATTTCGGAAAAATATTAAGATTTTAGTGAGCTGGACCGATTTGAAAACACCTCCAAAAATGTAGTTTTTTATGAATAAAAATGGTTTCTTAAAGAACTTTTTGAAAAAAGTCCCCTCAGATGACATGAAAAAGTCCCCTCAGCTTAAAAAATCTCCATAAAAATATTTAAAAATCTTTTCAACGGAATCGTAAGAACGAGATTTTTGATGCTGTTTTTTTACTTTTTTCAAAGATTGATTTACGAAAACCTTGAATAACTGGGCCAAAACTATTCTGATTTAGACTTAAGGGATCTCAGTGGAAACATATTTTCACACTGTTTTTATTTCTGTCCAAAAAAAAGTCATTCGTATCCCAATTTTTTATTTTTCAAATACCAACACATCTTAATTCAACTTTGAATAACGTTCGTTCATCCTACCTTTCTCTGTCATCCTTTGAATGAGTTTATTAGTAAAGAAATAAAAACGATGAAAAAAAACCTTTCCAATGACACCTCTTAAGTCTAAATCAGAAGAGTTTAGGCTGTGTTATTAAAGTTTTTCTTATACCAATCTTTGAAAAAAGTTAAAAAACAGCATCAAAAATCTCATTATTACGATTCCGTTAAAACTTTTTTTAAATTTTTTTTTAGATATTTTTATGCGATTTTTTTAAGCTAAAACTGTTTTGACATTTGGGGGCATTTAAAAAAAAAAAAAATTTTAAGAAACTATTTTTATTCAATTAAAATTCCATTTTTAGAAGTATTTTCAAATCGGTCCAGCTCACTTAAATCTTAATATTTTTCCGAAATATTTTGGTGGACGTCTTAAAATATAATAAATTTTATAATTCCAATGGAAAAATAGCACCGATTTTTTTTTGTATGGGGAGTGATGCAGTCTAATATATATACATACATTTTACACGGTTGACAAACGGGCTTGCTTATCTGCATAAGCCGTCTTTATTTGCAGTAACTCATGCATTATCCCCTTTCAAATATGAATAAGCGGCTGAACAAATACATAAAAATTTCGTGCATTTGTTCGAGCATCGAGATATAATTTTGTGTACATATTTCATGAAAGCTATGGAGGTATCCACTATAAGAGTGGTATATTTGAAAATTAGAGAGTTCTACCTTTAAACTAAATGATTCTCGTTTTACCCCCTAATGGATGGGACCATTTTCCAAAGTTAGCCCACCATTATTCACTCAAAGTTGTGTTCGGAACACGGTATGACTTATGTAGGAACTGCATCCGGTCATAATCGCTCACGCTTCACGCCTGATTTGCTTGGGATTTTGTTTTTCTCGTTCCCTTTTTTATGTGACATGAAAATATTTTTCACTATAAGAAAATATATTAAAATTGTGTACATTTCCATAAGTAACGTAACTCTTATTCTTACCGTTTTTTCTGGCAGGCTGTAGGTGTGTTNTTCTACCTTTAAACTAAATGATTCTCGTTTTACCCCCTAATGGATGGGACCATTTTCCAAAGTTAGCCCACCATTATTCACTCAAAGTTGTGTTCGGAACACGGTGTGACTTATGTAGGAACTGCATCCGGTCATAATCGCTCACGCTTCTCGCCTGATTTGCTTGGGATTTTGTTTTTCTCGTTCCCTTTTTTATGTGACTTGAAAATATTTTTCACTATAAGAAAATATATTAAAATTGTGTACATTTCCATAAGTAACGTAACTCTTATTCTTACCGTTTTTTCTGGCAGGCTGTAGGTGTGTTTTTGGTAAGTGTATTGGGTTTTTGGTTCAGTGTGATAGTGTATTTTGATTAAATTGTAATAGAAATAAATGAAATTGTAATAGAAATGAAAGAAATTGTAAAAGATAAAAGCAAATGCCAAAAAAAGGTGATCCCAGCTGTAGGCATTTTTTGGCAGTCAGCTGATAGTGTTTTTACTTATGAAACTGTACGAAGAAAGATGTCAACCAATACATTCAAACAAATTGTCAAATAAGCATATTTATATTTTTTGATTTGTCTGTCTGGATTACTGTATACTGTGCTAGTGACATTAGAGATTTGACACTCCCTTACAAAAGGTTACACACACCCTCACCCAAACATAGTGCCCTGCTAAGGGAGCTGATCTTGTCAAGCGGGAGNGATATAATTTTGTGTACATATTTCATGAAAGCTATGGAGGTATCCACTATAAGAGTGGTATATTTGAAAATTAGAGAGTTCTACCTTTAAACTAAATGATTCTCGTTTTACCCCCTAATGGATGGGACCATTTTCCAAAGTTAGCCCACCATTATTCACTCAAAGTTGTGTTCGGAACACGGTGTGACTTATGTAGGAACTGCATCCGGTCATAATCGCTCACGCTTCTCGCCTGATTTGCTTGGGATTTTGTTTTTCTCGTTCCCTTTTTTATGTGACTTGAAAATATTTTTCACTATAAGAAAATATATTAAAATTGTGTACATTTCCATAAGTAACGTAACTCTTATTCTTACCGTTTTTTCTGGCAGGCTGTAGGTGTGTTTTTGGTAAGTGTATTGGGTTTTTGGTTCAGTGTGATAGTGTATTTTGATTAAATTGTAATAGAAATAAATGAAATTGTAATAGAAATGAAAGAAATTGTAAAAGATAAAAGCAAATGCCAAAAAAAGGTGATCCCAGCTGTAGGCATTTTTTGGCAGTCAGCTGATAGTGTTTTTACTTATGAAACTGTACGAAGAAAGATGTCAACCAATACATTCAAACAAATTGTCAAATAAGCATATTTATATTTTTTGATTTGTCTGTCTGGATTACTGTATACTGTGCTAGTGACATTAGAGATTTGACACTCCCTTACAAAAGGTTACACACACCCTCACCCAAACATAGTGCCCTGCTAAGGGAGCTGATCTTGTCAAGCGGGAGCTAGACAACTGTTTTCTTTTTTGAGCAAACCTTTTATTATTGAATCATGGTTTTGAAGCGCATTAACATTAAAAGAGACATATCGGCATTTTTCCAGATTACGATGAAAGGAACTTAACCATATCTTTTTTGTGAAGTAATAGTGGTCTAAAGTCAATTAATATTTGTCAACAATTCGCATTTGAAAATGTTTGGATGTTCGACCCTTTTGCATTTAGTGTGCGATATGATGTGTGGAAATTTTAAGTCCATAATATCATAATATTTTGACTTAATATATTTGTGGAGCTTGTGCGATATGTATGCACATACATGTACCTATGTATTTTGAGGTATTCTTTAAGTCAAATTGAATAAAAATCTGAAGACAAAGCAAACTCTTATCTTTACATTAAGTGAATTTGGCGAGGGTTAATTTTATAGCATGCAGAGTTCGTAAAAATATAACTTATTTGGGGTATTCACAACGTTGTCGTAAGTGTCGTATTGTTGTATGTCGTAAACTTTAAACGTATAAAAAGTATATTAAGGGGGTTCGCAAAGTAAAAAGTCATATTATGCATTTTCGCAGTGTTAAAAAATAGTTGGTTGTGGTTTCACGTTCTCTAAACATTTATTTAAGCTTTTAAAGCTTACCACATACAACAATACAACACTTACGACACCGCTGTGAATCCCTCAATTGTATATTGTAAAAATAATTAAATACCGCATGCTTGATTTCAATCAAAACTGTATCTAAAAGCAGTTGGTTGGAAGGCAGTTCTTTATTTTGAAATTACTGGTAAGCATACACAATTTTTTAATAAGCCTACATACATATGTATAAGAAACATGGGGACTTTTCTTGAAACATTGAATGCTCAAGAGAGCCTGATCGCGGTTATTAAATTTATTTACTATTCTTGCTTTACCTGGTATGCATTATGGTATAACAATCATTTCAGAACTAAAGGTGCTACTACATAAATAGTGTTCAAGCATTTTTTTTGCAATTCGTAATGCCAAATTTCCTTTAAAACATTGAAATGACAAAAAATGTGTGCCATTTGGAAACAAACTTAATTAGATTTATACCAACGTAATGCCCAACTTTGTCATTAAAATGACCAGTGGAAATTCGGCATTAGGAACCATTTGTGAAATCGCGGGAATACATATACATATGTACGATTTGTTTTTTTAATTTGGTTCGTGATGTCTGTATACGGGGACTACTTATATAAAACACGTGGGTAAACTTGTATAGGCACGAGAAATTACGACGTTCTTACATTTTAAACTTTTCCCAGCTTAAATACTTAACCACTGCTTTACAAGCCTTCACAATTCATGATCAATGAAGCGTCCTTCTTTGGCGAATAGGCCTTAGCCTTTTCAGTTTCTGCCACTTGCATCGATCTAAAGTTTTGGTGTTAAATAATTTTTAAACTTGTTCAAAATAAATTCAATGAAATTAATCAAAATAAAAAAGTTTATAGTAACTCGATTTTAAAATAAAAAGATCTATCGCACGCGAAGCAAAATTGTAAATGTAATATGTTAACCTTCTTTTCGCCTTACAATTTAAGCATTTTCCTTAACTTTCTAATAAGCTTACCTTAACTTAGTTTTCAAGGAGTTGATCTCGCGGTTCATTGCTTCTTGGCTCTCAATCATGTCTTCACACTCACGTTGGTATTTGCGTTTTTGAGTTTTTTCCTTCTGCAACTCTTCTTCGGTTTCGTCAAGATTTCGTTTAAGTAATTTCATACGGCTATTAAGCTAAGAAAGATAAAAGTAATGGTTCAGCTGTGTTTCATTTAGTATTCATAGAATTTACCTTGTCGATTTGCTCCTTGTATTGGTCAGCGTGGCGACGTTCATCTTCGATATTCATCGTAAGTTCCTTTACCTTTTTATCCATTTTGCGGTTAGCTTTCTGCTGCAACAACCGTTCTTTGCCTTCATTTTCTAACTGTTCTTCTAGATTAGATATCTTGGCTTCTAGAGTTGCAATTGTAGCCTTCACTTTAGTGCGCTGTGCCGTCTCAATCTCAGTTAGTTTGGCTTTGAGCTCTTTATTTTGTCGCTCAAGTAGTGCACGTGTATTTTCGTTCTTTTGCGAATTCGATTTTTCATTGGCTAATTCGGTCGAGAGTTGCTCTATGGATAATTGCGCCTTGCGACTACGGTCTAATAGCACTTCTGAATTCGATTGCTCCTCTTCCAGCTCTTCTTCTAATGTGGCGATTCTCGCTTCTAATCGTCGCTTCTCATCGATCATAAGAGAACCCTTACTGGCATTATTGGAAATTTCTTCTGCAAGTTCATCACGCTCTGTTTCTGCAGAACGGCGAGCTCTTTCGGAACTGGCTAAATCTTCGGTTAACTGCATCACTTCAGCTTCTAAGGCTTTCACCTTGCGCTCAGCTTCTTTGCTTGCAGCCTGTAATTCTTCTTTCGCAGCTTTAGCTTCTTCAGCATCACGCAAAGCGTCTTTAACCTGAGCTTGCAGTTTTTTCGCATGCTTCAAAGCGTCTTCTTTCACTTTGTTATGCATTTCCATGGTTGTTTCAATTTCTTTTAGATCCCCTTCGAGCTTCTTCTTCGCTGCCACAGCTGCAGTGCGTTGCTTGCGTTCCTCATCTAACTCAGCCTCCAGGTCCCTTAACTGCTTAACAAGACCACGGCGTTTTTCTTCCGCCTGCTCTTCTTTCGCTTGTAAATCACGTTCGAATTGCGACCGCAGCGCCTGCATGTTCACTTCCAGGCGCAGCTTGGCATCTTCCGTCAACTGCAAATCATCTTCGAGTTCCTCGTTTTGAGCCTTCAGTTCAGCCAGCTGCGACTCCAGTGCACGCTTTGCCTTTTCCAACTCGTGAACATTCTTATCGGCAGTGCCTTGTGTGTTGGCCAAATCATCAAGTTCGTTTTGCAACACTTTTCTTTTGTTCTCAAGGTCTTCAATTTTATCGTAAGCTTCATCTAATTCGCGTGTTAGTGAAAGCACCTTGGTCTCCTTTTCACGGGCTTCCCGCTCCGCAGTGTCGCGCTCTTGAGCTATCTGCTCAGATATGGCTTTCTCCTCAGCAAGAATTTTATCGAAATTCTTTTGCTTCTTTTCTAAATCAAGCACCTAAGGGTTAAAATTATTAAACAGACTTGTATAACAAAACTTTAGTAGTCGTAACAAACCTTTGTACGTTGTGCTTCCAACTCAATAGTCGTGTCCTCAAGTTCCGATTGTATCTTCTTCTTACTCTTATCTAAACGATCATTTTGCGCTGTTAACTCCTTTACTTGCCTTTCCAAAGCTTCTATCTCTTTATTCAAGCGCTTCTTGCCCTCCTCCAATTCTTTAGCAAGATCTGCATCTTCTTCTGCTTTCTTTTTAATATCTTGCATTTGTGCTGTTACTTCGGCCAATTTACGCTCATAGTTCCGTTTCGCCTCTTCATCTTCTTCAAGTTGCTCCTGCAAGGCCTCCTTTTCCGATTCAAGCTGTCTTAGTTTTGAGCTCAGTGATAACTTCTGGCGTGTCTCTTCCTCGAGTAATTGCTGCGCTTCTGTCAACTGGGATTCCATATTACTGGCAGATTTCACAGCAGCAGATGCTTTCAATTCAGCCTCTTCCAACTGATTGGTTATATTTTCTGTTTCCTGCTGCAGTTTTGTGCATTTCTCTTGAAGCTCTGAACGTGCACGTTCTATTTCAGCCAGTTTAACCTATAAAGTTTAAAAATTAACAGTGTCATTGTCTGCGCACAAAACAAAATGAAATTTAGTTCTGGCAGTGTTTTTATGTTTTTGAATAGCTAAATTTAAGTATGGTTCAAGCCGAATTTTTTAATGATTTTCCAAGCGATTTAATCTCTAAAATAAATTTATCTTATTTGTGGATGTGTGTAAATTTGATTATTTGCAATAAACTTGTAATTTTACGTTCATATACCCACTTTGTGTGTATATTTTTATTCCCAATAATAATAATATATTGGCGCTTACACAATATGTTAGTGTTTGGCCGAGCTTCTCCTCCGCTTTGTGACGTGCGCTTTGATGTTGTCACACAAAGAGGAGGGACCTACAGTTTTACGCCGACTCCGAACGGGGATTGTATTTTTATGCGAAGCCGTTTCCCATGGCAGAAATTCACTCGGAAGTGTGCCATTGCCGCCCGAGGGGCGAACGCTATTAGAAATAAAATTATAGTTTAAAAAACTAAAAACTCGCTAAGTATCTTGAGAATGAAAATCGCTGCATCTTTTAGGCGCATCATTATTACATAGTTACATCCCAAGCTAATAAAAGCGAGGTAAAAACGGTTTTTNTCATGGCAGAAATTCACTCGAAAGTGTGCCATTGCCGCCCGAGGGGCGAACGCTATTAGAAATAAAATTATAGTTTAAAAAACTAAAAACTCGCTACGTATCTTGAGAATGAAAATCGCTGCATCTTTTAGGCGCATCATTATTACATAGTTACATCCCAAGCTAATAAAAGCGAGGTAAAAACGTTTTTTTTTTTCTTTTTTATGGTAGTCGGAACCTGGGCTTGAACGCAGGCCCTGCGGAGTGGTAGTGCGCACTGCTTCACCACAGCGGCCCCCAAAATAAATAGCTTGAAAATATTATGGTATGGTATTTTTTTTTTTATAGACAACAGAAAGCGTGAAAGGGAAATCGACTATCTCGTTCACTAACCGCAGAGAGTTGACTTTTCAACCAGCTACACTAAGTAAGTATATTATATCTTATTTTTTACTGCAAACAGTATCGGTCATATCTATAGCACGCCATTTCAAAGTGATATTGTGTGCNAATGGTATGGTATTTTTTTTTATAGACAACAGAAAGCGTGAACGGGAAATCGACTATCTCGTTCACTAACCGCAGAGAGTTGCCTTTTCAACCAGCTACACTAAGTAAGTATATTATATCTTATTTTTTACTGCAAACAGTATCGGTCATATCTATAGCACGCCATTTCAAAGTGTGCCACTTATGTTTATTTATTTATTTTTAAGAATTTTCA